TGTATGTATGTATGTATGTATGTATGTATGTATGTATGTATGTATGTATGTATGTATGTATGTATGTATGTATGTATGTATGTATGTATATGTATATCTATATGTATATGTATATGTATATGTATATGTGTATTAATTTTTCTTCTTCGGATCATGGACTTGGGATAATGTAAGACAAAACTATTTTCGTGAGACACATGAGACAATTTTCGTGGACTATCAGTGTAGATAGTTTGTTTTAGGAACCAAATCCAAAATTTAAGCAACAAGGACCACCAGTGTAATTAACTCTTTCTTAAATATTGATTTCTATTTTTTCTTTTAGTTACGCGCTAATATAAAAGAAAAACTTTAGTAAACTACAAAATATCATTCTTCGTTCCCATAATTTAGAAACTACAAGATGACCATCGTGGTTTGTAAAGTCGTCCGCATTTGATCTCTTCCACTAACATGAGTTAGAACTTAAAAGGCTTCATTATGTGAGGGATATTTTAGTCATTTTTGCTTCTTTTTTTCTTTTATTCAATCAAAACCCACAATGACCAAAATCATAAAATCGATTTTAATTGAGTAAAAGACAAAAAAAAATGATAAAATGAAGCAAATGCATCTCATTTAACGAAACTTTGCAACAGTCATTAGAGGAAGGACCTATATCTGGACGTTTTTACAAACCATCATCTTGTAATTTCAAAACTAAAAGATGAAAAATGTATTTTAACAAACTATAGGGACTAAAATTGTAGTTTACTCAAAATTTTATTACTCATTATATAATCAGTTATCATTTTTTTTAAAATTACAAGACATAAAGCTATTTCCGTTTAATTTTTTATTCAAATTTATATTTATAATTTTTGCAATTTGTAAAAAAAACATTTGATGAATATTCCAAAAACCTAAGGGGCTGTTTGGATCATGAGAATTGAAAGGAATTGGAATGTCCAATTCTTTGAGCAAATTCTAAATAGAGTGTTTGGTTCATGGATTAAGACTATGGAATCTTTTCAATTCCAGTCGATTCTTTTACGCACAAATTTTACAATTCCAGGGCAATATGCTAGGATTTCGATTCTTTTTCTACAGATTCTTTCTCTAATCCAATTCCGTTAAGAATTTCATTCCAATTCCATGCAACCAAACGTAATCACAAGGCATGGTCAAATTCCATTAGATTTCATTTCATTCCCTCAAAGTCAAATTCATTTGATGAATTTCAATTCCATCGAATTCTATTCTACGAACCAAACGCCCCCTAAGTTTCCTTCAGACACAAAATCTTTGATGAATAAAACAATTTAATGATACATATTACTTAAAATTCAAGATTACAAGTAAAATGGTTCATGAATAAAAAAATTGAAGAGGGAATGAAAAAATGTTCAGATTTAGAAGAAGATAGATAGAATACAACATACCTGTTAATTGGAGATGCTCAATCTTGAATTGCCAGCTATTAATTAATCAGATCAATAGCATTTACTAAATGCCATATTTATGTACGATAACATACACCAAAGTCGATTATACAAACTATGGGTTAAATGGTTTATGGTTAAACGGTTCAGTTAACTGAATAAGAATTCTTATTTGGTTGATTTTTTTTTCTAATTCGATTAAAACGAATANACTGGAATAAAGAATAAAATGAAATATTAAAATCACAATGTATCTCGCTGCATTGCGCGAGTACGCTTCTAGTATATATATATATATATATATATATATATATATATATATATATTCAAACTTACATCTTTCTCACCAACATGAGATGATGAAACTCAACCACATTTCAAGATATGAGATTACTAAAATCTCATGTTGCCAAGTTATCATCCATGGTCCGCCCTCCCCCCCCCCAAAACAACCCACCCAATACCCACTTCCTAATATCAAACATGCATCTTATTATCAATGTGAGATGATGAAACTCAACCACATTTTACGATTTGAGAATTACCCAAATCTCATGCTATAAAGTCATCATCGTTGATTTCTCCTTTAATATATCTGGATACAAGTCACTAAGCATGGGACATTAAATGGGGATTTACCACCACGTAGCCCCCCTACTACCTACGCCATTGAATCTAGCTAAGTGTTTATGTTTAAACGAAATAAATGAAAATGAAGACATATGAAAAAGACTAACAAACATACGAAAGAAAATTGAAGGTTCAAAGACTTAACAATCATATTAAATTCATAATATACAAAGGTATCGGATTCATCGAGTTGGGTATAAATGATGCTAACATAATTCCAACCTAATAAATACGGTTTGATCTAATTTTATATCAACTATATATCAGTTATCTTGGTAGAACTTTTTTTAGGTTTTTTTTTTAATTTAGGTTAACATGATTGGTCGGTTTTTAATCACCTCTATTCCAAACACCCATGAATTGTTCGGTGGTGGTGGGATTTTTTTGGCAGGGTAATAATTTTAAAATATTAGAAGGGTACTCGTGCAATGCAGCAAGATACATCTTGATTTTAATATTTCATTTTATTATTTATCTTAGTCGATTTTATAGTATGGTTTTATGTGATTTTGAAAAAACGATGATGTTTTTAATTTTGAATAAAATATAAATTTGAAGATATCATAAAATTTTGACAAAAATATATCAATATTAGTATCAAATTAACTATTTAAAAGTTCTATTTTTTGTGTAATTTTTTAATTCATTTATTATAATTTAATTTAGGTTCAATAACGAAGTAATTTTATTTGGTTTAATAATATAATTTTCTTCTAAAGATAATAGTTAATTATTTTGTTAGAACTCGATAATTATCATGATTATATTTTAGATTTTTTTTAATTTAGGTTCAATAACGAAGTAATTTTATTTGGTTTAATAATATAATTTTCTTATAAAGATAATAGTTAATTATTTTGTTAGAACTCGATAATTATCATGATTATATTTTAGATTTTTTATATATTAAAATGAGATGTTTATCCCCTATTTGATTATGTTTATCCGAAGTTAGTTACATGAATTCAAACATGAAGCTTTAATAAGTTGTACTTATGTATAATTTACTTGTAGTGTTGAATTTTAAGTAATATGCATTATTAAACAGTACTTTACGCATAAAAAATGATTTTTAAGAGTTTTTGTCAAATGCTTTATAATATAGTATAAATAAAGAGTTTGCTTTTGCTTTTTTTTTTTCATGAGCACGAGTACCATCATCACGAGAACCATGATGGAACTGATTATTAATTTCAATTTTGAAATCTTTACATTTTTAAATCTTTACATTTTTAACATTTAGGGTTGGGTTCACATGAGACCAATCTGTTTTCGTAAGATCCGTGAGACAACTTTTTATATTTGAAACTTCACAGAAAAACACTGTAAAGATAAAAAAAAAGTTTAACCTTCACAGGAAAAATACTATGAAGGTTACCTTCACAACGTTTTGCTGTGAAATTTCAAGTGTAAAAAAATTGGTCTCACGAAAAAATGTTGGTCTCACACGATCCCAAGTTTTAATACCTATGTAGAAACATATAGGCTATTATTTAGCTTCGAGTAGGATACACTGATCATTGAATTCTCAATCCTCTCACCAAGTCAATCTTCAAGTCAAGATTTTAAGAATCAGTGTTCGCTATTTTGTCTAAAGTTATAACTTTTGACTACAAGAGAAATCAGAATATCGACTTTTCAAGAAATTCAAAATAACATTTTGATTATGTAGTAACAAGACCATACAATACAACAAAATTAGAGAATCAATCACACAACCACTTAATTATACATATACACATACGATTTTCTAAACAAAATCCTCTCAAAAGCGTGTTTTCTAATCGCAGGTTGAATCAGAATGTGTGAATTATAACCTTGAAAGGGCGAATTGGTCGTGTTCTTGGCGAACTTGGGCCTTTTTGTTTGGCATCAACATGGTATTTAGTTCCTCCACGAATATCTTCATCGCTGCGCTCGGCAGACATACGGGTACCACGATTCCAGACTCCCCTTTGTGGTTTATAAAAGGTATATAGAAACTAGCAACGCCGGGGATAGCGCCTACTCCGCCTTTGGCAGGCCCGCCATAGGCAGCTTTTCCCCACCCGAAGTCGACTTCATCGAATCCGGCACGGGTTACGTCTGACACGAGGAAGCTTCGCACAACTGCAAAATGGGGTCGTCCTTTGAGGACCATTAGGTCAGCCAATGATCTCATGTACTCTGCATTGACGTCGTTTTTGGCCTTCATCACCTGCTCTAACGCGTGGCCTAATGGTTTGTTGGTTAGGTCTCGTGCTGTGGAAATGGCAACAGGGAAGGCGAAACCGTTTCCGTAATATCCTTTGGGGAGGGGAGGATCGAACTTGGCACGTGCGTTAACGATGCATATGATACGCATCTCCTCTTCAGGATCCGGCTGAAGAGCGATGGTACGACAGCGCCAGAGGCACGCTGTCAGCACCTCAAAGGTGGAGCATTTTTGCAAGTTTGTTGGAACAAACCTACGAAAGGCTGCCACCTCTGCTGGTCCAAAGAAAAAGGACCTATGGGCCATGTCATCCAATGCGATAATGGTACCTTTGGTGTCTTCCACTACGTCATACTCATGATGAATGCATGTTACAAGTGGTGGGTCCCTTGCAAAAAGCAACTCTCTTTGCCATACGGGCAACGTCGATGGTCTTGATGCGCCCTGTGCCATTTCACCCAACCCCGTCATGAACTGTACGAGTCCGGGTGCATCACTCATCGTGTGGTTGAGTCGTAGAGCGAAGATGAAACCCCCGCATAACAATCGCGTCACCTATTAATAAAAACCAATTACCATAATTATTTTAAAAAGTATATCATAATTATTGCAGGTCGGACAAGTTACTATTTTTTTATATGATTGATCTTGTATAATAATGTTCGATTGAAAAAAGGTATTTTAAACGTGAAAAAGACTAATCACTATAAATTAGTATTTAGTATAAAATTCATATGTGAATTATTAAAAAAGATGACAAATTAAAGAAAAATCCAAAAACTAGTATACTAAATTTAGAAGTTATCTAATCAAATTAAGAAATATATTTTGATGAAATTTTGTATTCTGAAATCAGAAGGCAAAATTATAAATCTGAAACTATAAAATTCGCCACAAAATTTCACCTGAATCAGTAGCAATGGTGAATCGAGGACGCCACCAGATCCAGGAACATCGTAGAGGAGTTCTTCCAAGCAAGGAAACGGAGGCTGAAGTGCGTCTCCGAATTGCTTCAACGTCACATCCGCCTCCGCCTCAATAAACAACACACCGTCGCCGGAGCAATCCACCATCAGCTTCCYCGCCGGACCTTCCTTGAGCCTACCAGCAAACGGATAGTAGAAAACCAGTACCTTAGCCAGAGCCTCCCTGATCACAGTCGCCGGATTCTTATTTCTCATTTTTGGATCTCGACGATAAAACTGTATCACCGGAATCTGAAACCKAAGCCCTTCCTGATCGTCAATGTCGGAGAGAGGCTTCAGTTCTCGAGGTGTTGGTTCAGCCGGTACGATGAGCTCCGGTGCACGTCTCCGGACGGCGAAGGTCAAGGGAGTGTTGATTTGTGCCATAACTAGTGCGTGTGTTGTGTGTGTTTTAGTTGGTGCTTGTAGTTGGTCGTTGGTACTTGGTACCAGCCCAAATTTATAGTTGGTTTTGGTGAAGTGTGAAACGAAGGTGGTGGCTTGACCAATCATATTTCTCTCCACACATTTTTTTAATTACGTCACTATAAATTAAATTTATTAAAATAAATGAAAAAATTGACCAAAATAATCAACTGATTTATTAGTATTTTATGCTTTATATATATATATATGTGTGTATATATATATATATATATATATATATATTAGATCAAAATAATCGAGATTTTGTAAGGGGCCGTTTACCAAACACTTATCCGGGTAAGCGATTGCCAAGTAATATTATTTCTCCGGATGAATATAGTAAGAACTAAGAATCTTACCTGGTAAGAGCGAGAGAAGGACCAAGAATCTTACCTGGTAAGTGAGGGCGACGACTCTTACCACGGTATGCGCTTACTGGATAAATTGTTGTATACTATGTCGTTTTAGTGGATTAAAATCTTACTCAGAAAGTACATAATAGTGTTCAATTTTATCAGTAAGCACTTACCGGATAAATGTTTGATAAACGACATTTAACTGTTCGTTTGGCAAAAAGTTGATTATTGGCATTTCCGATTAGCCCCACACCAGGGACGGACCTACTTTGGCGCTGGCACGTGCCACCATATCATTCTTTTGTTGAAGGGTAAAAGAACTTAGGTTCATGAACGATGCAACCGTATCTATTTGTTGTGTATCACCATATATATTTTGAAAGTACAATAAAGACATAAGTTTTTTATAGTTTAATTGGTTTGTAAGGTTTTTCTTCCACCTTGGACACGAGTTTGAATCTCGTTGGTGTCATTTTCTTAGTTTTTAGATTTGTTCAAAGATATTATGTTTTCTGGAAGAAAAAAAATTGCAATAAAAGACTTGCACGCAAGACCTCACATATGAAAAGTAATAAACTAACCAACACACCAGTTATGATGTCATGAAAAATCTCCGGTGTCCATTTCTTTTAGTTAAATGATGCTACCTTTTGAAAAAAAAAAATTGGGTCTATACCTACCCCACACGAAAGCCCATTAGAAGCATGCAATGATTTCCATTTGGAAAAACATTTCTATAAGAAAAATGGTTTAGTAATCATTGTGTTTTTTTATTTTGTTCGAAAAGAAATTATGTTATTTAATTTTTATTAAAAATATTTAATATTTACTCATTTAAATACATAATAAATCTAGACAAACGTTACAACTTTTTATTAAAATTTCAGTAACTACTTCAATTCTTTTGAAAACTTAACGTTGCGGGTCATTTTATGACACTTGCCTATGTCTATTGTCACGTGTTCTTTGATCATTAGAGTTGAAGGGTAATACCATATGCTATTTGATTCAACGATATCTGGTTTACCTATAAGATTTCAACTTCCCTAAAGATTAAAGGTCTAGACATCATTCCTTTTGAAATCGAGGATGATCCTCTTGATCAGGATGACCTCCTTGGTGAGAATGATATGATTGAGGTTGAGTCGGATGATGGCGACACCACGCGATTTCTTACCAGTGATATCTCTCCCTCCCAGGTTGATCCAAAGACATCTCAGATGTCTGAGCATACGAACTCCTCCCCCTCCACTGGTGTTCATTGATGTTCTTTGCCTTATGGCCTTCCCTTGGTCTTGTTTTGTTCATGTCCTTTGCCTCTCCTTGTGTTCTTGGTTTCTTAGGTCGGTCTAGGATGTACCTGTTTTAGGCCCTTTTTATTGCCTTTGTTGTTTTCACATTTGCTGTCGAGGCTTGGCCCGCCTAGGACTTTCCCTTGTGGTTGGTTTGTCTCTTTTCTCCCTCTGTTCTTTTCCCTCCCTCCCCCTCGGGATGCCTTGGTTTCTATTCCGGTGGATGTGGTTCACTCCCACCCGAACGCGTATTATGTCCAGTGTTTTTGGTTTTTTTACTTGATAGGAGAAGTCTCCCCCCTCCATATAAAAAAAAGAGTCTAGACATCACTAATAGTTAGAAACGTGTGAACAGTTATCATACGTTGTATATATTCAGTAAAATTCTCGATTTATACGTTCTAGAAATACCCATTAAGAACTGAAAAATGTATAATTACATCAAATCAGATAAATATTCAAGAAATAAAAATAAGAAAATATGATTAATTTAAAAATTATCCATTTTCCATATATTTTTGTCTTTATTTCTTGTTTGGTATTTGGGACATATGAACCTTGCAAGAAGCCACCATGATTTTGCTTGTAAATAACATAATTTAAATATTAATTAAAATTGGTCAAATCTTTTTTATTTATTTCTATCAATCTTATCTTTTGACACAGATAAAATAATAATTTAAACAGTTTGGGGTAAACTAACACGTGGTATTTGTCTTTTTATCAATTTTTTGTCATTTACCCGATCAAAATCCATATGAGTCGAATTATAAAATCGATTTTGATCGGTTAAAAGACAAAAAGACGTAAATGCCCCTTATTTAGCAGTTAGAATCAGTGACCAAATCTAAACGTTTTCACAAATCATGATAATCATCTTGTAATTTCAAAACTATACGAATGAAAAGGGGTATTTTCGACAAATCACGGGACCAAACTTGTAGTTCTACTCAATAGTTCATCGTTATCTAAATTGTTATGGATAAGAAGTGATTAGAGCATTTTATAATTAATGATAAGTTAAATTAAAATAAATATTTTAAAATAAATCGTTGTTACTGTTTTCAGTTATAAATCGATTTAAAAAACAGTAGATGAGTTTGTATTTCACAGTATTTTATATATAATAACGGTCGCTTTTATATGTTATATTCAATATGTGTAAAAAAATAAGTAGTTGTAAAAGAGGGGTTATCCACAATTACGTAATGAGTACTATATTTTTGTATTTTATTTGAAATATTTTTTAAAAGAAATTTAATACACAAACATCTTAATATAGAGAGAAGTCTTGTGTCAATTTTGTGATTATGAATGTTTATATTATAGATCTAATCCAAAAATTGAGAATTGGTTTTACAAGTCTAACAAAAAATCATTGGTTTCACATGATCCCAAGTCTATATATATATATATATATATAT